ATAACCCAAGAAGTTTGGTCCATAGTATGCAATATATCATGGGTATAAGTAGTTCTGGACCTATGATTGTAACTTAGCCCACAATGACTTTTGTTAAGTGGTCAACATGCATCTAGATTCAATTTTATGACCTTTTTTGCAAGTCATTAAGTGAACATGGTAGTTATAAAGTGAATATGAAGATAAGATTCATATTATGAATGTAACAGAGAAAACACTTATAATTTCAGTACTGTAGGCAGCGGTACGATGAAATAAGGGAAAACAATTGAATTATTTCAAAGCCATAGAAAATCTTTTATTATGTGGGGACAATGGATCCCTAGCCTAGCCTGTAAATAGGGGACGTAAGAAAAAGAACAAATAACTTCTCTGTTTCTACCCTAGCTGGCACAAACCAATTAGAAATTTCTTCCACACAATCCACTCTATCTCCAGTAACCTCCAAAGGGAAAATGTAATTATAAAAGGATAGAAAGAAATAAAAGTATTGATTTTTTTTTTAAAAAAGCTTACTTATTCACTGAACTCATACATTGTGCTAATGGTGTATTTTTGGTTAAATGTGTGGGTATAACCCAATTATTGTGATTGACTCATTATGGCTGAGTGTAATGTGAGAAAAAAAACTGTGACACAGTCAATAAACAATGTTTTAAAAGATTGTTGCCTACTGGCCTGTGTGGTCCTCTGCCTTGTATGTGAACTCATCTTTAAAAAATTAACCATGTTTTATAAAAGCGGTGAACTATTAGCCTAATTTGAAAAAAAAAACTGTTCCTATTGGATTTTCAGGATTCGGTCATTCAAAGCTGAGAAAACTTTTGATTAAGCTTCATGTTGAACTTCCTTTTCTTTTCCAAAAGCCTCTCCCTTGCTTTAACATCCTCAGGGAGTGAACATGATTTTCACAGCAATCCAAAACCCCCAAAATAAAAGTCAGCAAATCATAGACGTAGCATAAATGACAAAGCCAAAGGAAGGTCCACCAGCCAATCAGCTTGCCATCTCAGTACAGCCCTAGACTAATATATGGAAGTTTTCAGAATTCCTACATGTGCCAGAAAGTAACACCACAATAAACCTCTGGACTTTCCCTTACGTAGGCATAGGCCATTGCCAAGCTTCTGTCAATCCCGATTCCTTTTCTTGACTGAAGCGTAGCTGGCTTGCCCACCATTGCAAACAAGGAACAGCTGGATGTGCCTTTCATACAAATAATCACTTTACAATTTATAGCTATTCCCAGACTTGAAAGATGTAGGAATAAAATCTGCTGTTTTGATTGCCCGGCAGCTTCCCAGGTTCTATAAATTAGGCAGCCTTCATGCAGCTACTCCTACTATAAGTAATTTATCTCTACAAATACAGACCACAGTGAGAACTGATAGACTAGGACTACATTGCATATCTGTCCTTTCACTCTATAGCTCAAAGCCAACAAGAGGAAATAAAGAATATTAGTTTTTTTCTATGCAGATATCTAGCTACATTTTGCACAAAACATTTAGTGATTAATTGATATTTTTGCTTTACAGAGTAAGTCAAACCAAACTTACATGGTTAAGTTACAGTGCAAGGGGGTATGCAAATGCCCCAAATTAGATTAACTAAGTACAGGTAGTCTCTGATTAACAACAGTTTGTTTGGTGACCATTCAAAGTTACAATGGCACTGGAAAAAGTGACTTATGACCATTTTTTACATTTACAAGCATTGCAGCATCGCCCATGGTCATGTGTTCAAAATTCTGATGCTTGGCAACTGACTCCTATTTATGAGGGGCGCACTATCCTGAGGTCATGTGATCCTGGGGTCATACAATCACCTTTTGCAACTTTTGACAAGCAAAGTCAATGGGAAAGCCAGATTCACTTAACAGCTGTCTTAGTAACTTAACTACAATGATTCACTTAACAACTGTGGTAAGAAAGGTCATAAAATGGGGTAAAATTCACTTAACAAACAGCAATAGAAATTTTGGGCTCAATTGTGGTCGTAAAATGAAGACTACCTGTAAACCTAATTTTGCCCTGTTACACAAATATCATTATTCTTACATTTCCTGTAAGTTAATGGTGAAATAAGAAAGAACATCATAGATCTCACCTCACATGTTCCTTTTTTAAATAGAAAACAGCCTCTTGTTACAATATTTCAACTTGGAATAAATTACACTTTGTTAGTGAGATCTATAAATCAACCAATAGCTGTTTTACTTGTTTAGTATGAATGACACAGAGACTTGGTATGGTTATAGCCATTTTGGGAGTTACAAAGACAGTATTATGTGGTTGGGGTTCTAAATTGTCCTGTGCTTACAGATTACAGTAACCATAAATCTTATGATGAACGATACTTCTTTATTTCACATAGCTGGTTTTAGGTAATAAAAACTCACTGTTGTCCTTTATTTTGGTCATTTAACTTTTGACGTACAAACACTACCACTTAATGCACAATCTTTCTCATCCATGGGGAAAATATAGAAATTGAATTGTCTTTTTAAAAGAAATTTACGTATGCAGTTTCATTTTAGATATTTTCATTCAAGTAAGATTTCTTTGTGATTTTGCTCTGGAATTTTCCTTTGCAAAGCAAAGTCATCAACATAGGAATTAAATTTTTTATTCTTTCAGATTTGCCCCTTTGGAGTCCCCCCACACCAAGAAATATGCTCAGGGGTCTTCAAACGTGGCCCTTTTATGACTTGTGGACTTCAACTCCCAGAATTCCTGAGCCAGGCACACTGGCAAGGAATTCTGGGAGTTGAAGTCCACAAGTCATAAAAGGGCCAAGTTTGAAGACCCCTGCTATAGAGGAACCTGAAAATTTGCTTAAGATGGCCTGATAAGTAAAACTCTGTTGGTGGGCAGAAGGAGATTGTAGATGGGCATAGAAGACTGGATGTCTGTATGCTAAGTAGATCAACTGCTAAATGAAGGCAAAGAGGTGTTTTCTATCTACCACAGAGGAAAGACACCTCAGATCCTGACTGCATTATTATGCAGTCCAAAAATATTTTAGTCTTGTTCTCACAAAACGCTTATTCCACTCAGCCGCTTGCTCAGCTCAATCTTCTTAGTGGCAGTATTAGTATACATTCAAACTAAATGGGATTTAAAATCATGATTTGGGATCATAGAAATCCACTCATTGCACGAGAGGCTTGTCGGGGCTTCATAAAAACCTCTAGCCTGTTGGCCTGACTTAGTAGCTGCAGTCAATCAGGATTTAGGGCAAAGTCACGTGTTTGGCTGCTCTATCTTCTCCAGCTCTGTTTCTTGGAGGACTGACTACAACACAAAGCAATTGGACTTTCATGTTCCTCAAACATGGCTGAAGTTAGCTTAGTTTAGTACTCTGTTTTAGAAAATATATCTATCAATCAGAGTCATGAACTTTAGATGGGCAGCCACATACATTGGAATAACTACATCAAACTTCTTCTGACTGCTGCTCTAGGGAGGCATGGATATAACATTTTAAGAAGCATTTTGGAAAAAACGAATGAGTCTTATGAGTCTGAATGATTGACGATTGAGACCTTGTCATTTGATAGCACAAAGCATGTTGCTTCAATAAAAGGTAAATACTAGTTTATGTCAACAAGCAGTGAGAGAGTCCCATCAGCACAGTGTCTTGAAAGAATTGAAATTTGATACTGTTGGTCATAAAATTAGTACAGATGGTCCTCAACATACAGCCACAATTGAGCCCAAAAGGCAGTTAAGTGACTTTTGCCTCATTTTACAATCTTTCTTGCCACAATTGTTAAATGAACCACTGCAATTGTTAAGTTAGTAATATGGCTTTCCCTTTGTTTGTCAGAAGGTTTCAAAAACATAACCCCCATGGATAGTAGGCATAATTGCTATATTAACTTCCATATCAGCAGCTAATTGCCTTTGCCTTTCTGTATCAGTTCCTGAGGAAGTGGAAGGTTGAGGTTATACTAACTGGCATTTGAGATTTCTCCATCACGCTTGCTCACAGGATGAATAATAGAATAACAGAGTTGGAAGGGACCTTGGAGGTCTTCTAGTCAACCCTCTGCTCAGGCAGGAAATCCTACTATTTCAAACAAATGGCTGTCCAGTCACTTCTTAAAAACTTCCAGTGTTGGAGCATTCACAACTTCTGGAGGCAGGTTGTTCCACTGATTAATTGTTCTAATTGTCTGGAAATTTCTCCTTTGTTCTAGGTTGATTCTCTCCTTGATTATTTTGCGTCCATTGCTTCTTGTCCTGCCCTCAGGTGTGTGAGATAGGATTTTGGCCCTATATAGCCCAGCTCTTCTGAAATCCTTAAAGTCTCTATTAAATTAACAGCAGCTGAGCCAAATAAACACTGAGATCAGTTCTTTCAAAACTGAGGGTACTCTAGTGACTAAAAACCTTCACAGAGAGACATTTGCTTTTTAATTAAAGCTTCAAGAAAACTGGAGGGGTCCTTGGTGCTCTCTGAGCTTGCTTGTTTTCTTGCAGACATTTCATTATCCAAACTAGGTAACATCACCACTGCTAGTCATGAACGACTAATGAAATGAAATATCTGCAAGAAAACAAACAAGCTCGGAGAGCACCAAGGACCCATCATGTCAACCCTGAACTACAAATATTCTCCTTTATTAAAGAAAACTGCCATCCATCCCCCAGCTTTCCTGTATCTGTGTACAACTGGTGCCCGTGGCCTCCCCAACTGTCAGCCCCCCTTTCCATCCTCCCCCTTCCATTAACATCTCCCCACACTGCTTACCTGGAGGCCTCCCCTTCCTGCCTCTTGGGATTTACGATGGCAATGAGGACTGCCAGGATTGTCATTGTTAACTGGTGTGGTCACGAGATACCACACTTTAGGACCACATCACTTAGCAATGACAGTCCCAGTCCCCATGGCCCTCATAACCCAAGGACTACTTATTGTATCTTGGATAGGAAACTGCAGCCGCCTGGTATTATTAAATGGAAATATTACTGAAGAAAATGCAAACATAATCATTGTGGCTTGTCAATCAGCATTTTTATTTGAAAGAACAACACTGTTCGTGGTATAGTTTATACATGAAAAGCAAAAGGACTGTCTTCATTTCACATGGTCCAATACTGAAGTGGCACATCTGAAGCAGCACAGATAGGTTTATATACAGATTTATATAGAGAAACAGAATTCTGGATAATTCAAATGAAATAACAATGAACCAGCTAGACAACATTTCACACCCCAACTGGAGGAAGTGGCACATAAATTGTATAGAGGACAACATGGAGAGAAAAATAATTGAAATGTGTTTGTGTATGTAACTGTGTCACTGTAATTCTTAAGCACAACAAAAATCTGTTATTATTTAGTCCTCACTGAGGGCAGAATATACACAAATGATGTTCAAAGAACACAGGGTAAATGAAAATAAAACTACATGGAGTACGTTTCTTACTATTATTAGTAAATATATAGAATAGAGGGCTCATGACATTTTAAAATTATACTTTTTGTGCCTAGATTTTACACAAAGTAAAACAGTTGAATGTTGTTTTTAAAATATTTTCTCCAAGTATGATTGACTTCTGCTGGCATTCTGCTTTTAATATTTAAGCTTTCTAAGCAAGCACATAGGATATCCTCCAATGTTAATCTTCCCTGCCTTAACTTTTGGATGGTATTAAAAAGCCTTTAAGTAACTTGGATATTGAACAGCTCTTGAATTAACCAACTAAAATGGGGCTGGCAGACTAAAAAGTTTAGTATTATTACTATTATTTTAACTAGAACCCCAAATTCACCAACCAGAGCCAGGTAAGAGCTAACATTTAGAATTTAAAAAAACAAGGACCACACTAAGCCTTCCACTTTAAAATGACAGCTAAGTACCCTCAATTCTCCTTATGTCAGCAACTTTTAGGCAGAATTTTGTTGTTGCAAGTGTTAAACAATTGTGAATTACAACACAATCATCCACACAAAAATCTACTAATAGATTCCTAGATATCTTCTGCCACACCTGGAATATAGCAAGTACAGAGCCAGTGGTGGCTAATGTGTAAAGCAACTGGAATATACATTTCGCAATTTCTCCAGCACTCAATCATTTCTGAGATAAGACAACACGAAAAAGCCAGCTAGCAATACTTAGGCCTGCATGAACCACACTGTTTGGATAGGGAAAGATGGAATGTCCACGGACATTTTTTTCTCCCTCTTCTTTGTAGAAAGAGAAGAAAATAATGATAGAATGGTGATATGCTTTATCTTCCCCAATAACCCAGCTGCTTTCTTTCCACAAGGTTAAAACTGAGTTACACCATTAATTGCCACAATCTCTCAACCCAACACTGCATAGACATCTCTGTAGCAACCAAAGGAATAACCTGGACATCCCCATGTCCAGCTGTAATGCCTTAAGTATCACACTCTGCAGCAGGGTGACACAAAAATCAAATATTATCTATGGGGCCGATGCGTTTGTACTTGCGATGTGGAATAAGCAGCCATTTCATTTATTGATTTCTTAATTTTTCAAAAGCAGTGGTACCAACAAATTACCTTTTTTTTTTTTTTTTTTTTTTAGGAGAAACAGTAATTCCGACAGGATGGACGGGCCACCCTAATGAGGCAAAGGAACAAGAATTTCCACATAATTGATGGGGAAGAAGCCGGACTGCCCATGAAGCATCCCTTCGTACCAGTTATCATCAATCTGGTTAGTGAGGGTAATGACATCGCCTTCTTTAAAACCAAGTTCCCCTTCATTTTCAGGGTCAAAGTCATACAGAGCTCGACAACATGGCTGATCCATAGCGGCTCCACCTGGGTGGAAAGAAAAAAAGATAAAACAGAGAAACACGGGGCTTACAAAAGGCAGCTACAAGACACAGCACTGAATAGTGAATGGGTACTAAATACAACAGGTAATAGAGTCGTCATGATTAGGTACCTATGATTGTTGAATGTTAAATGGCTGGTTTATGCTTACATCAGCACTAGGGGAAGAGTTCATTCTTCCAGATATTTTATTATATCTTATTTTTATATCTTATTATAATAATTTTAAGCCCTGAATATGTGCTATTGGAAAAAATACACATTAAAAGCTTTGTTTTTGAACTTTGTTTTATACCTAACTTTGTTTTTGAACTTTGTTTTATACCTAACTTTGTTATAAATTATTACAATACTTACCTTAAAGTGGTATATTTTATATTAATGTTATGTTATTATTACATTATGTTATAATATTATTTGAACGATATCACAATACTGGTCTAGCAGTTAATTGTATTCTCTCAGCCCATGTGGATCACAGTGCAATTTGTATACCTTTACAAATGACTGGATGGAATTCAAAATGAGATACTGCTACAGCAAATGCTATTTACGCAAGAATGAAATGTTAATGAATGTCTAATAGTCATCCAGACTTTAAAACGTTATAATCCTTTCATAGAGTATTACTTTTTTAATAGAAAAATCTCCTTGGAGTTAAAGTTAGCTCCTCCTTAAATTCTTGAAATACAACTAAATCCATCTTAACTCTCCTTTCTTACCTCCATTTGGCCAGGTAATATCATCTCAATATTAAATCTTGCTTAGCTTTTTGGTATCAATCAAGTAACTCCTACCTAGATGGCTTTCCTTTGATACAAGACATTCTATGAAAGGAAGGAACAAAGGAAATGTATCTCTGTATAACTGATCATCTATCCTCAGATGGTTTTGTGAATCTCATGGATTTTACCTGATATTTCAAAATAATTTAATCCCGCCCCAGTATCTCAAGGACCCCAGGATCAGGAAGGAAGAGAACTGTTCTGACCCAAGTCACACTGGCAAGGCAGTGGTTACTGCACACTTAACACAGTGTCAAATGACCCACCAATGGTGCCAGTGAAACTCCGCCCTCAGCCTTCAGTTTTCCCTTGGTCTGAAAACCCCGGTTCCACATGGCCAACCCATGAGGCAAAGAGGGAAGTAACAACCCCACCTAAGTACCAAGTTCACAACACATGTTCAGAATTCCAAAAAACAAAGCATGGTCCAAGAGTCTGAAGTCAGGGACTCAAGTCCAAAGTCCACAAGCGAAGGGCCAAGAAACACGATCCGAGAGTTACTAGGCAGTATTCATAAAAGCCAGGAAAGTGCACATCAAAGCAAACAAGTGTTCCCAACAAATACACTTCCCCCAGTGTCTGGTTAAGTCACCCTTCCCCAGGTGTTCCTTGTGAGGAGGGGGGCAGGGCTGCTTCCTTGCGAGCAGCCTCACTGACCTCCTCTGTGCCTCCTCATCCACGGAACGGCAGGGGAGGCAGCTGTGCCTTGTCAGAGGAGGTCTGGAGCTTGTCATCTCTGCTGGCCCTCTGCAACTGATCAACTCCCGCAGGCGGCTACCCTTCCGGTCTGCTGCAGACAGCCCTGGGACTGCCTCGTTCTCATTTCCTGGACTCTAGACTCGTTCAGACAGACCATGCCATCCCCCATCAGACAGTCCCGGTTCCAACTCCTCCTCCTCTGAACCATGATCAAACGAAACCATAATAAGTACAGAAGTTTTCTTTTACATTTCTTTTTCATCTTCTCTTTTCCCATTCTTACCTGAAGGCTTAGGAGTAGTAGCATTAGAGAGCCCTCCATTGTGCTGACTATTGTCACTTAATTCCAAGGTCATACGGGGCTTTGGCTGATATTCTCTTCTGGGCTGAACTGACGTTTCTTTTATTCTGTAAGAAAATGAGCAGTTACTAATTTGAACTAGTAACTGGAAACCAAGCAATTCTAATCCACTAAGACTAATCAAGGAAAAGTGGTGGGGTTTTTTTGCATTTTCATAACCAGCAAGTCTACAAACATGGCATTAAGTATACCTCCTACTACATGCCTGATTATTGAACAAAGCCATTGTCATTCTTTTGGCCCTAAAACTGAATATCATAATGGTCTGCCACAAAAATAGAATGCATAAATTGTACAAATATGTCAAATCAGTATTTGATTCTTATTCAAAAGATTCTCCTGGACATTTTGACAGAGGACAAGTTAGTTTAGTCTTCTATTTTGAACTATCTATTCACCAGGTCAATATACGCTTTGAATTTGATACGAATGCCAGTCTTATATATTAAATTTATTTCAGTGCATATGGAAGATATCTTACAGGTTCTCCTTAACTAAGAAGAATGAATGAAATACATTAATGAGGTATTATACTATGCCTTGGAAGCTGGGACTGAAGCTGATTGCAGTTGTTTGTTGAGGCCATTGAGTGCTGGTAAACAAGAGGCAGGGTCATAAACTTTTCCTATATAGCAGTGGTTCTTAACCTTTCTAATGCCGCGACCCCATAATACAGTTCCCCATGTTGTGGTGACCCCCAACCACTTATACATCACCGGGTGCCAGGGGCATGGCCAAAGAAAAGGGGGGGGGGAAATGGCGGACAGCCTTGTTTGGCGACCCCCGTGAAATGGTCGTTCGACCCCAAATGGGGTCCCGACCCATAGGTTGAGAACCACTGCTATATAGAATCAGATTGGACTTTATTCACTTTATTTACTTCTTAGCCCTACAAATATATTTATCTCCCGACTACCCAAAAATTCTGGATCTGAGATATAAGGGTAAGACTTTCATATTTGTACTGTTCAGCTGGCTACACTTCGGCTACCTTACTCTTAAAGTACCATAGATAATTAAATTTTAAGATAGCACAGCAATTTCCTGACTGCAATTCCTTCAGGTCTAATATTCTTTGACAATGGGATTTTCCATTTATTGTACTATGATTGAAAAAACAGGTCTGAAAAAAAAAGTACTGTTGATTTCCTTAGAGAATCCCAAAGAATCTATCTGTAACATCAATTTTCTGGCCTTCCTCCAGGGAAGACCTAATCCTAACCCAAACACTAAACATAAACCTAACACTAACCCTAGTTTTATATTCACTGGCAATGGGATTTTCCCATGTTTTTCATTGTGTCCACAAAAAAGTTGGAACAAAGAGATGTCACCATCACTTTCCCTACAGAATCTCTAAGAATCAGTTTTCATCCCTGACTCCAAGGACAACTAAAGCTAACCCTATCCCTAACATTAACACCAGTTAAATTTGGAAATGGGATTCTATACAGGAAATGTTTATGATTTCCCGGTAAAATACATGGGGAAATTCCATTGACAATGAAAATTAAAACTAGGGTTAGGGTTAAGGACAGCATTACGGTTAGGGTTAGCTCTCTTTGGAGTCAGGGCCAAAAAGTGATGCTAGGGACAGATTCTTAGAAGTTCTCTAAAGAAAGTGACATCCTTAACTCTAGTTTCATTTTCATTGGCAATGGGATTTTCCCATGTATTTTATTGTAGTCCACAGAGAAGTCCAAATGAAAAGCTGTCAGGTTCTCTTTCCGTAGTGAACCTTGAAGAATCGATCCCTAATATCAGTTATTGGGCCTGTCTCCAAAAAGACCTAATCTTAACCATAACCACAACCCTAAGCCTAGTTTCATTTTCATTGTCAATGGGATTTTCCCATATATGTTATTCTGGTCCAGAAAGAAATCCTAACAAAAAGCTGTCACTTTATCTTTGAGAACCTATAAGAATCTATCCATAACATCAGTTTTCAGCCCTGATTCCAAGGAGACCTAATCTAACCCTAACTCTATTCCTATCCCTAACCCTATTTTAATGGTCTTTGGCAAGCGGATTTTTCCTGGGTTTTTTTTTTAACTCTGATCCAGAAACAAGTGTCCTAATCACTTTCCTTAGGAGCCTCTAAGAATCTATCCCTAACATCAGTTTTTGGCCCTGATTCCAAGGCCTTGCATGCAGGAGATGTTTCAAGATGCCTTGTATTTGAAATTTTATAGCTATAGGATTTACTCTCTATTGAAGGTCTGATTGTTACAAACCTGTTTTCTCTAAACAGAACCCTGACTTTTTGCAGAGCTCTCATGCTCTGCAGTTAGAAATAACGTTTCCCATTTTCACTAGGGCAGAGGCTATACAGATTCCTAACTCACTGAATTTCTTGACAAGTGTTTTGATGGAATCCAATAGAGTGGATTTGTCCATTGTGGTTAATGTCAAGAGCAGCTTTTTCTGATATAGACAGTCTATGGCTGATTGGAAGCACATAGGCAAATATATACTGTTGAAGCTCCCTTGATAATTTAACTATTATCAAGTTAAATTATCAAGTTATATTATCTGTGATAAATTAACTAAACAATAGAGTTGTACATGTCTTTAAACTGTGATAAATGATAATTAAAGTCTAGGTAGGCTTAGGATAGGAACATAAGTTTTTAAATTGCAAAGGCTACGGTTCCATCCATGTAAAACCCTGCAAAATAAAGTTACAAAGTTCTTTTTTTATAATTATTTCAAGACAATGTCTATATATTCTTGTACGTGCCCTGAAAAACCCCTTAACCTGCCTATATATATTCCTGAACCCCTTCACCATGCCAGACAAGATCCTTCAAAATAGTCTAAAACGGTTAACAAAATCCCTCAAGAAATTATCAGAAAATAACTCATAAAAAGGACAGATCTCAATACAAATAATTATAATCAGGATTAAGGGGAAATATAACATCATGACTGTATGGAATGGAAGAAGGATTTAAAATCCATCCAAAAAAATAACCAAGCAAGCAAACTCGCTAGACAGTGAAAAAAGACAGGTGAAACTTATTTGCTTCATATTGGAATGAATCATTTCCTTTCCTTTAAGAACTTGGAAAATGAAGCTTTGAAGGCCTAACTGCATTTATCTCACTTGAGTCCAACTGCAAGAAAAGGAGCAGCAGAATAAATCCAGAAAGAATGGGCAAAATCAGTGAGCAAGAAAAAAACGAAAAGTGTTGGCAGTCATGTGTTGGGAATGTTTCATCAGCCTGAGAAAAAACGTGGAGTCCCTAAGGTTCTCTGAGACATTATTAGTTCTGAGATATTGTTTCTAGATAGAAAATACAGATAGTCCTCAACTTACGAGCACACACTCAAAATTTATGTTGCTAAGTGAGAAATTGGTTAAGCGAGTTTTGCGCCATTTTACGACTTTTTTCGCCACACGTTAAATGAATCACTGCAGTTCTTAAGTTAGTAGCACCGTTAAGTGAATCTGGCTTCCTCATTGAGTTTGCCTGTCAGAAGGTCACTAAAGGAGATCACATGAGCCGAGGATGCTGCAACCATCACAAATGTGAGTCAGTTGTCAAGCATCTGAATGTAAATCATGTGATCACGGGGATGCTGTAATGGTTATAAGTGTGAAAAATGGTCACAAGTTACTTTTTTCAGTGCTGTTGTAACTTCAAACCGTCACTAAATGAACTATTGTAAGTTGAGGACTACCCATATTCTTTTAAAAAAAATGTTGTGAGAATTGTGTGAGAAAGGCACAGGAAAAAATGAAAAGAAACCAAGTTCTAAGATATTATTATATTATTTGAAGAGATTGATTCTAACAATCAAGATCAAGATTGTTAGAAGTAAAAGGGAAGAATATAAAGTTGGTCTATCTGATCAAGATTAAAATACATATTTTGTTAATATTTCTGGTAACTCTTCATGGACTTTTGCTGACATCAGGACTAAAATGACAAGGTTTTGTGTAGTTTGTAAGTTACTAAAATTGCTTATATACTTGTTTGATGAAAGGAGAAGTTACTTCTTTATATATTTCCCTTTTTTTCCTTTATTATATTCTTATTTTTCTTTCTTCTCTTTGTTTCTTCTTTTTTTCTGCCCTTTATATTTTTTTCTTTTTTCTCCCTAGTTTGTGTTGTTTTTATTGTTGTAAATGGTAATCTTTAATAGCGGTAGCAATAGTACCTAGACTTTACAGCACTGTCTGGTCTGTTTACAATGTCAGCATATTGCCACCAACAATCTGGGTCCTCATTTTACCAACCTCGGAATGAAGGCTGAATCAAACTTGAGTCTCATCAGGAGTGAACTCCAGGCCATGGACAGAGTTTACCTGCAATACTGCTTTCTAACCACTGCACCTTCAGGGCTCATTTTATAATAATAAAATTACTATAAAAAATAAAGTATTTTATTATCTCTTAAGACCTGCCAGACAATATAGCTAAAAAAAATAAATTCTACTTCTTGACAGGAAATAAAGAATTGATGGCAGCCTACTCTCTCATTTTCATAAAATAATAATGAAAGAAGTCTCTATAGTAAATACTAGTCCAAGACAAAAATAGGCCTCCCAGTATGGGACTCCTGCATAAAATATAGGTCCAAACACATTTTGGGCAGGGTAGGGAAGTCTAGCGCAAGGATAGCGGATGTGTCCATAGTCCCATGGATGGAATAATTTTACCTATTTCTAAAAGCAAGCACTCTAGAAAATGCATATGTAAGAGGCAGCAAATTGTGAGTTCAAACAACGGAGCACTGAGGGAAGGTATTTTTGCTGGAATAGTTGCTGCAACGTGTAGCGTGTTCCAGCCCTAAAACAGAATTAAATGTATCCATGTATTTTTTGCCCTATAACCCACGAAACATTGCTTCTCTGTCAAAAAGACAACACAGCCATATCTCGGTGTAATTTCATCTCGGGTTTTCAGGCCCGAGTTCAAAAACACGTGCCCAAATAATTCTGTTAAATTTTTGCTACCTTTCTTCCAGCTTGAGACTAACTTGTTGCAGGATCTCTGTGGCTTGCCTGTGGTACTCCACCTGGGCTTGTACTAGCGCACAAAGCTGGCTCACTTGTTCAACCTGCAAAGAACATAGAACATAAAAATCACAGAGCTGGAAGGGACTTCAGAGGTCTTCTAGTCCAACCCTCTGCTCAAGGCAATATATCCCAGTTTACTATCTCAGTCAAATGGTTGTCCAGTCTATACACCCTCAAGAGGGAGGGGGAGGGAAGGAGAGAGAGAGAGAGAGACTTATTACACCACTGTTGTGTAGCAAATTCAGTTACAGTATCTGAAAAAGCAGTGAATAGGGAAAACTAAAATTTGAACTGAATACTAGAACTGGAGGAAAACCCTTTTCACTAAGACTATCAAAAAGGATAGCCAATGTTCAGATGCTTCCTACTGGGCATTTTCTGGAGGGCCACCTAAAAGTTAAACAGCTTCTAAAGTAAGATATAGATGGACTTCGCTTTAACTAACAAGCTACTTATGTTCATAAGCCAGTCTGCGTATACAAAAGCACTTAATGCAGATTAATTATGCCTTATCTAGAAAAGAAACTGGATATGCATGCATATAATGTGACAAGTCTAGATTTTTTTTTTTTTTTTTTAAAAAAGAAGCTGGACTGTGCAAGACTAACACTTATTGCTGTTCACATGCAAATAAAAACAATTCATTACACTTAATCGAAATCACTAAATATTAACAAAGAAAACTTTCCTAATGGATGACCTATTCAGTTCCTCTTACCAATTCAGATGCATGATCTACTTGGCATGTGGGAATCCCTCCCCCCTAGAATATTTCTCCAAATCAAGACTGAAGAAGTCTTTAGGTCTGGGGTGTCCAACCCTGGCATTTTTTAAGATTTGAGGACTTCAACTCCCAGAATTCCTCAGCCAGCATGAACTCAGGAAGTTAAAGTCCACAGGTCTTAAAAGTTGTCAAAACTGGATAGTCCTGCTTTAGATTACTCCTGAACATGTCCTTAACTGAGGCTGCATCTCAGAATGTTATAATACCATTATCGTTAAAGCAATACTAATTCTTCAGAGTAATGCTGCAAGTATGATACTTGGAACAATGGTGGTGAACACAAGTAGAGCCATTAGAGCAGGAGTAGGCAACCTCGGCTCTTTTATGACTCATGGACTTCAACTCCCAGAATTCCTGAGTCAGCATAGCTGGGAGTTGAAGTCCATGAGTCATAAAAGAGCCGAGGTTGCCTACCCCTGTGTTAGAGGGAAACCATGTTTCCATTTCAGAGTATGGGTAGTTCTCAACTTACAGCCATTCCTTTAGTGATCATTCAAAGTTACAATGACATTGAAAAAAATTACTTACAACAGTCCTCACACTTATGACTGTAGCAGCATCCCCATGGTCACATGATCAAAATTCTGGCGCTTGGCAACCCACATGTGTTTACAATGGTTACAGCATCCCAGGGTCACATGATCATCGTCTGTGACCTTCCCAACCAGCTCCCGACATGTAGAGGAGGGAAGCCAAATTTGTTTAACTACGTGATTCACTTAACAACCGTGGTGGCAAAAAAGGTCATAAAATCGGGCGCAACTCACTTAACAGCCAGCTTGCTCAGCAATGGAAATTCTGGTCCCAATTGTGCTTGTAAGTCGAGGACTATCTGTAAAAAGGGTTTATTTTCCACACAAGTAAACTGTAGAATTATAGTCTGGCTGAATCAATGCCCAGAATATTTTCATTGTTCTGGGTTTCAGCTGAGACAAAATTGGAAGTGTCTTATGGGGGACATGTCATTCTTTCTCCAAAAAACATGTGAAACTCTACATTGGCATGGATTTAACCTGACCAGACTGGAATTTGTTAGCTTGACTGAATTCTATATATTCAGTTTCAGTGGAGAACAAGAAATAACTGTGATCCTGCTTTATAATTAATTGAATTTTCTTCCAGCCTGTTCAGATATTGTATAAATTCAATTTATTTAAACCTTGACTTATTCGCACACATGAAGCTGAAGGGGTATAACAATAATTTGTCCATCCTGAGGAATTTTTGAGGCACGTCACCATTATTTTTATTGTAAGTATTTTTAGAACTGAAACCAAGTAACTGTGGAATATCAAGACTATTCAAATAATTCATAGGGGAGTTAGAATTTGTGCTGTGATCCGTGGGGTTCTGGTTCAGTCCCAACAGTGTCTAGGATTATTCCTAAGTCTTCCTCCAAAATGCCATTCACATGAAAATGGATAGCAAGTAAAATACTGTACCGACAGTGCCAATTTCACCTCAAAAGCATGTTTGCAAATCTCGCCCTTGGAATTCCAAAACACAAACCCACTTTCCTAGCAGGAAAACCACATTTCATCTATTACGTAATACAGTTTCTCAATCTCTGTTCTTTAATAGAGTTTTGAATTTCTATTAAAAAAAATTGTAACCAAAATACAAAAAAGGAGGGGTGGGATAGGGGGAGTTTTGCTCACATCCATCTCTAGCAGATTAAACATGCTTGATTCAGCAATCTCTTTTGACTCATCAAACTTCTCCAGAGCTTGACGGAGTTCTTCATCGGGGATCTTGCCTTGCCTTTTCTTCTTGTAATCAAAGTCCAGGCGTCTGCCCTCCAATTTTTTAAGATGGTGCTGAAAAAGGGTGGAAAAGATCAACAGCTTTACGAACCCTCTTTTTTAACCCCTTCAAATCAATCACAGCTTTTCAAAAGTCGTTGACCACTGCCTTCTTCCCAAGGCCCAAGAAAGAGTGACTAATCCAGGTTAACCCAGCTGTCTTTGTGCCTAAGGCAGGACTAGAATTCACAGTCTCCCAGTGGTTTAACCGTTACACCAGGTTTGACGCTTTTATGAAACCAAATTTAACTAAGCTTGCTAGTAATGATAATTAAGAAAGGTGCTATTTATTTCCAATCAAGAATAAATGTATCTTTTCAAAACAATTTGTGGATGAGTGAGAATTGCCAAGCGTTTATAATTGAGAAAAAGTGGACATGGTAGAAAGTAATACTTTAAGGTAAAAAACAAACAATTTGTTGAGTAGCTTAGATAAAGCCTAGCTGATAAGACAGGAGGAAAGTGTTAAGTGAAAATGCTGTTCAAACGAATAAAAAGCTAAATCCTTAATATCCAAGGTCAGAAACTTATTTGTTTACTGAAATACAAGAGCAAAGGTGTTCATGATTTCACCAACAACTTACTATTCAGTAATAATATATATTATTAATATACGTTGACATATTCACATATTCAGAGGTATCCCATGCTAATATTTTTATTTTAAAGATTTTTTTAATGGAAAGTACAAGCCCCTACTCTTTAAAGTTTTTTTAAAAATAAACACTGCAATAAATATATATTAATGACAATTTCCATTGTTCCAATTTTCAGCTTTAGCACTAGGCATGCATTGTGATTTCATTTTTTAATGGAATAGAAGTGATGAATTAAGAAATCATTTTGAACAGAAAGTTATACATTTTGTGCTCTTTCCACTCCTCTTTAACATCTACATGGAGCTGCTGGATGAGCTCATCTGTCATTTTAGGGTGAGATGTCATCACTATGCTGACGATATCCAATTATACTTTTCTGTTCCTGGCAAATTAAGCAATGCTGTTGATGCCTTTCCCCAGTGCCGTGAGGCTATGAGGGCCTGGATGGAGAACAACAGGTTTCAACTGAGCTCTGGCAAGGCTGAGGGTCTGGGTTTTGGGGCCTGCCAGTTCAGAAACTGTACAATCTCCGCTATCACAATAATCTGTCCCTGCTGTAATGTCCAGCTAATTACATAACAAAATTCTATTTGTGGCAATACCTGTATTTCCCGCAGATCTTTGTCATGGAGATTTTGCAATGGATCAATGAAATTCTGCTTCACATTAATATCCAAAGCATCTTTCACCTCAGACAAGTCCCTCATCGCTTCTCCAACATCACCTAAAGCTGGGCCTAAAAAAGGAAAAAAACAAAATGCTTTTATTTTAAATTGATCCAAGGTGTTTTTTTAATCCCTTCTTCTTTTTAAATGCCTACAATCCCCACCTCCAAAAAAACAAACAAAAAAATCCCTGCCAAGTTTGTTCCCCGTCCTCAGTGACATCATCAGACCAGTGGATATAGCCCTCCAAGATTTAATAAATAGAATAATGTCCCTCCTCATATTCAGAGCTTACATTTGCTCCAAACTATTCAGCAGTGAATTAGGAAGTACAAAAATTCTGATCAGTGAACTAAATGTTCTGGGATCGGGCTTTTTGGTGGATTACAAATAAATACAATAATTAGAAGATGAGTTCTTCAAATTTAGCCAAAGGGGTGAGGAAGGGTTCCTCAGCCACCGCTTCTACTTCGGTGAGTCCAGCTATTCGGAAATCAATTACCACTTTTCTACAACAAGACCCTCAATTGACTGACACTCAAGCAATCCTCCAGGCAATTTCTGCTCAATCTAAAAATATTGCTGATTTGAAAAAAGATTTGGAAAAAGACTTGAAAATCGATCTTCTTAAAATGGATCAAAAAATGGAAAATTTTCAACAGGCGATGCTAGACACTCAAAATAGAATGCAAAAAATAGAAGATAAGGCGGTGGTGGTTGATCAGAAAATTGAAGCGTTACAAGAGGAAAATCAGAGATTGGCGCAAGCGAATGCTGGATTAGAGGACAGTTTGGCCATGATGGAGATGGATAATGCTTCACACTTTCTAAGATTTCAAAATATTGTAGAAGGGAAAGATGAGGACTTGTTGGAGGTGATGAGTGAATTATTAGCGGAATTGCTTGGAATGGAAAAAGATTTAATGAAAAGAGAAATAGATCAGGTTTTTAGAATGAATTCGAGCTATGCGAGAAAAAATAGAATTCCCAGGGAGGTTCATGTAAGATTTCTTAAAAGATTTATACGGGATGAGATCTTGAGAGGAACAAGAGATCAACTACTGAAATATAAAGATAAAGAACTTGTAGTTCTTAAACAGATTCCAAGAAGGATAAGAGAAGCCCGAAGAGAATACCAATTTTTAATGAGGAAACTCTTTAATAGGGGAGTGAAGTTTAGATGGCTGGTCCCAGAGGGATTATTAATCTTCTGGGATTCAAAAAGATATAGAATAGATACTCCATCTCAAGCTGAGGAATTTTTTAACAACCACAGAGCCTTTTTAGAAAAAGGCAATGCCGAATCCAAGAAAACAGAAGAGACGATGGGCGCAGGAGCACCAAAACAATTGGAGGAGGGAGAATCAAAAAAGACGCAAACAGATAAAGATGTAAGACCGAAAGATCAGAAACAGATCACTTCTCCTAGAAGATTGAGATCTAGATATAATTGAAACTATGGAAGAGATTGGAATTTTTTCAATAAACATAAATGGTCTTAACTCCCCATCAAAAAGGAGTAAAATATTTAATAGACTACAAAAATTGAAAATGGACATAATCTGTCTTCAGGAGACACATATCAAAAGACAGCATTCAAAAATTTTAGAACAACCAAAGATAGGTAAACTTTATTTTTCTTTAGCACAGCAAAAGAAAAGAGAAATAGCATTTTATATAAAAGAAAAGATGAACCCAAAACAAATTTATCTTGACGAAGAAGGGAGAATACTAATGGTGGAAATTACATGGGATGAAAAAACAAATTTTGATAGTCGCAATATATGCTCCCAATGAGAAACAAGATCAGTTCTTTCAGCAATTATATGATAAATTAGTGGAGTTAAATTATCAAAATCTTTGCATACTTGGTGACTTTAATGTAATAGTTGATGCAATACGGGATTATAAAAGCTATAAACAAGGGAAAAAAGGGGGAAATACCCTACCTAAGTCTTTTTTAAAGATGAAAGATGAATTGTGTATACAAGACATATGGAGAGAAATGAATCCAGAGAAAGGACAATATACATTTTACTCAAATAGGCATAAATCCTGGTCAAGAATTGACATGATATGGACCTCATATGCTTTAAAGACTATGATATGAGAGGTGGAAATTGAACCCAATATTTGGGCTGATCATAATCCAATTAAAATGACTTTGAAAGGAACTAGGAAAAAATTAAGATGGTCATTGAATAAATCAATATTAAAAGAAAAAGAATTTTTACAATTGGCAATGAAAGAAATGGAATTTTTTTTTCAAATAAATAAAAAAGAAGAAACTTTGATTCAAAATCTTTGGGACACTGCGAAAGCATATTTTAGAGGCTTGGCTATAACTTACCTTGCAAAAAAGAATAAAGAAAAGAGACAGACACAACTTAAATTGAAAGGACAATTTAGGAATTTAGAACTTGAGTTACAAAATGATCCACAAAAGAAGAAGCTTAAGACACAAATGGAATTAATAAAACACAAACTACATTTATTGGAGATGGAAACAAGGGCACAACAGATAAAATATTCAAAACAGAATTTCTTTGAAAATGCCAATAAACCAGGAAGATGGCTTGCATATAGACTGAAAAAAGAAAGAGAAAAAAAATTGATAAGTAATTTGCAAGACTCAAAAGGCGAAATATATTGTCACAATGACGCATTGAAAAAAATTGCTAAAACTTACTATGAGACACTTTATAAGGTGGAGATGGTTTCCAAGGAGGCAATACAGGAATACCTAAGAAAAGCAAACCTTCCAAAGATACCAGAGAACATGCAACATATGTTGAACGAGAAAATAACAATGATGGAAATTACTGAGGCTATAAAAAGACAAAAAAAAGATAAAACTCCGGGACCTGATGGTTTACCAGCAGAATTTTATGTAGCTTTACAAGATATAATAAGTCCGATACTGAAAGATCTTTGTAATGAAACTTTTTTGGGAATGAAAATACCAAAATCCTGGACAGAAGCTAACATTTCTCTGATTCCCAAAGATGATACTGATCTCACATAAATAAAAAACTATAAGCCAATATCACTATTAAATGTGGACTACAAAATATTTACAGCAATAATAGCGGAAAGAATGAAGAAATTTTGAATGAATTTATTCATTCAGATCAAAATGGCTTTTTGCCTAAAAGACAGATAAAGAATAACTTAAGAATTATTTTAAATGTGTTAGAATACTATGAAAAACATCCGGGGAAACAAATGGCATTGATATTTTTGGATGCACAAAAAGCTTTTGATAATCTTAACTGGCAATTTATGTTTCATCAATTGCAAGTGATGGATTTCAGTGAAAATTTTATAAATGCATTTCAAGCAATCTACAATGAACAATCAGCAAAGATACTTATAAATGGAGACTATACAGATAATTTTGAGATTAGGAAGGGTAGAAGACAGGGATGTCCACGGTCTCCCTTGTTATTTATTCTTACACTGGAAGTGTTGGCCAGGAATATTAGACAAGATAGGGGGATCAAAGGACTGGAGATAAAAGATCAGAAATATAAATTACAAGCTTTTACAGATGATTTGGCTTTTATCTTGGAGGAGCCTTTGGAAACAGCCACTAAATTATTGCAGAAAATAGAGGAATTTGGAGAAGTGGCTGGGTTGAAAATAAATAGGGAAAAGACAAAAATACTTACAAGAAATTTAACAAAAAAACAGAAAGCTCAATTTGTGGAAAAAACAAATCTCCAGATAGTTAAAAAAGTTAAATACTTAGGTATTTATTTAACATCAAAATGTATAACAATAAAAGAAGATAACTATGGAAGATTATTGAATCAAATAAAAATGGATTTGGAGAAGTGGAAAATTTTTCAATTATCATTACTAGGAAGGATAGCGACTATTAAGATGAATATCCTATCTAAATTGTTATTTTTATTTCAGACGGTTCCTGTTAAACTAAGCCAGAATTTTTTTGATGACTTAAATGCAACAATAATGAGATTTATATGGCAAGGGAAAAAAGCAAGCATCAAAATTAAACTGCTACAAGAATCAAAAGACAGAGGGGGCTTTGGGCTCCCAGACTGGAGACTTTATTACCAAGCCACTATTTTGTTGTGGCTTAAAGAATGGATCACACTGAGAAATAAATGACTTCTTTATTTAGAGGGACATGATTTGCAACTGGGTTGGCATGCTTTCCTTTGGTACGAGAAAAACAAAGTACATAAATACTTCCAAACCCATGCCATAAGGAATGTATTACTTTCAGAGTGGGAGATAGTTAAAAAGAAAATTTATATGAAAATACCTGAGTGGCTTTCCACAATGGAAGCATTTGCGTATCCAAATTTAATTAACTATGACAAACTTGTGGCCTATAAAGACATTTTAGATAAAGAAGGAAAACTAAAGATAGGCAAGAACTTCAACAAACTTGCATTGATTTAACATGGTGGTCATACTTGCGAATTCAAACAAGATATGAAAAAGATGTAAAAGTAATGGGATTTTACAAAGAACAGACACCACTAGATAAAATACTTTTGAAAACAGATGAAAATCTGATTAAGAAACTTTATAAATTCCTGCTAAACTGGAAGATGGAAGAAGAACAAGTGAAAGAAACAATGATAGTGTGGGCAAAGAATTTTGGTTATTCTATAGATTTAGAAGATTGGCAAAAACTATGGGACTGAAATATTAAATTTACTAAAGCAGCTGCATATAAGGAAAATTTATATAAAATGTTTTATAGATGGCACATGACACCAGTTAGATTAGAGAAAATGTTTAAAAATGTATCAAATATGTGTTGGAAATGTAAACAACAACTAGACACTTATTACCATCTCTGGTGGATATTTCCTAATGCTAAAAAGTTTTGGTTTAAGATCCATATGTGGCTAGAAGAAATGATTAAAATACAGATAGAATTTAAACCAGGATTCTGTTTGTTAGGAATATTAGGTTTGAATTATGGAAAAAAGAATGAGTATTTAATATTGCATGTGCTGACAGCCGCAAGAATAATATTTGCCCAATTTTGGTAAAATGAAAATTTATCATCTGACCAGGCTATAATAACAAAAATACTCAAATGTGCAGAAATTGATAGATTTACTTTAGAAATGAAAGAGAAAGAAGACACAATTTACTTTAAAAGATGGGGAAAAATTTATTATTGGTTAGAAACATGCTAGAATGAAAAAAGGTTATGAAATCTAAAGAGATAATTGATAATTTGTATTTATATTCCATGATTATTTGTATGAAATTGTTCTTATTTCTTCTTCTTCCTCTTTGTATATTTGTGATCTTAAATAATATGGTAAACTATAATTAATATGTAATATATTATTATTTTAAAGTGATTATAATTAATACTAAGCATTGTTAAATAGTGAAATGAATGAGATTTATTGACTAATTTGTTATTTACATGATTATATGGAAAGTTGTTTAATAATAGAGTAATTATTAAGATTTAATATGTAAATCCGGACTGGTAGACTTGCTGAAGCGATGTTATTTTGTGGGATTAATCCCACTTTTGTGTTACCCCTTTCCCCTGGTCTAACCTTTTTGTATGTTTCCCGTTGTCTTATTCTTTTTGACCTTATCCCTTTATTACCTTTATAAATAAAAATATTTTTATATATAGAAAAAAAATTCTGATCAGTGAACTAAATGTTCTGGGATTGGTCTGTTTCACCTAGAATACTACAAACAGCTTCTGGTTTAGAGAATTTACTTTTAAAACTGATGAATTGTCCCCAAGGTAGCACATGGCAGGAAGAGATTTAGCACGGTCTGAAAGCAAGTGGAATATTCCTGAGTTTTCAGGAATGATCCATTTCTAGTTGATAAATTCTGCACATGTCTCTTGCGAAGACTTAATTAAAAAATTCCCCAAAAGTTATGGGACAAATACGAAAAGCAAATAGAATCACTATCTTTGTATTGGGTGTTTAGCGACATGCTTTAATCCCAATGCACTGGACTGCAAACAAGAGAAACTTCTAGCATACCAAAGCAGGGAAATGAATATCCCAGTTAGCTTCCTATATCTGAGACCTGATATTGGCATAATCCAATAAAAGTTTTTAAAAGATGAAACACGATAAAGCCAACATTACCAAAATTGCACTCATCTCCGAGTTCTTTCCCAAATTTTTGCATTGCATCTGCAAGCAGGGCCTCCGCTTGAGGATACCCAGGTCCTTTTTCTTGGCCTCTAATTTTAGACATGGTGTTGAGCATGCTGAGTTTGGCTCTGGAGGCTACAAGCAGAGAGGAAACTAATCAGTAGAGACAATAAACTGGGCAGATGGGAAACTGAATCGTGCCTGTAAATGACATAAAAAGCTCACATAAAAGAAAGATCTCACAAAAACTGGAAGACTCCAAAGTTTTATTACTTCACAAAGTAGTTTCCTAACCCAATTTTTTCTCGGCTAATTTTGCCTGCATGAGTTTTTCATTCGGGAACTCACTGAGAAACATTTCTTTGCTATTTTGTCCAAGCTGACCTTAAACATTACTTAGTACATCCATATTACTGAGGTCATGTACCTGTTGCAGGTAATGACAATCTAAACCAGTGCTTCTCAACGTTTGTGTGATGGCGCCCCCGTCACACAAACGTTCTGCTCATGCGCGGCGGCGCGCACATGGGGGCGTGCCCCCATGCGCAACGCACATGCGCGACGCCCCCCATGCGCGGCGCACGTGCACGGCACCGCCCCTTATGCGATGCGCATGCGCGGGGAGCCCCCATGCGCGGCACGCGTGCACGGCACCGCCCCCATGCGCGGCGCGCGTGCACGGCGCCGCAAAAAATGGCGGATCGCCGCCTTTGGCGACCCCCAGAAAATGGGCGATTGACCCCAAATGGGGTCGCGACCCATAGGTTGAGAACCGCTGATCTAAACATACTCTGGCAACAGGATTTTTTCTCTCTCATCATGTTGCTATGGTGCTGCCTTCCCTACATCCCTAGACCATGACAAGCTGAAGTTGTCCTTAGTTCTACCGGTTAAAGTAGTATTTTTTTTCCTTTTCCCACATTATCCTAGGGTAACCTCAAGGTATATAAAATTTATTTAACACATAGAAATTGATGGTAGTGACTGGGAACAGAGGCAACAGAAATGGAATTGGAATTAGCCATGAAGAGAGCAAATTTCCCACTAAACATTATTTTCTGTGGATTCAAGGATGGAGGGGGAATAGCACTATAATTTAGCAGTGGGAAAGACTTTGGGGCAAAACAAAAGTAAAACACAGAGTAGGACAACTTCCTGTGCATCCAACATGATTGTCATGGCTTAAACTTGAAAAGTATCCTGAATACTGCAATTTCGACAAATGTGAAAAAGACAAGAGTTAAACTGTGCACTTAAAGTTATGCAATCTCATTCTTAACAGAAAATATTTTAAATGCAGTGACAGTTATCTTCCTTCAAGAAAGAGCTATCGTTCCTTTCCTTTGTAAAGTATTTTGTTATGATATGAAAACAGAAGAAAATGGCAAAATAGAATTTAGAAAACTCACGTAGGAGACCAGGCCAAACCTATGCAAGATCTCTATACTACATTCTGCATATATCTTTGTGTTTGTGTATGTGTGTGTATGTTTGTCTGTGAGAAATGAGCCAAGATCTTTGTAATACAGTCTTTGTAACCTCTCTGAAATGCCCTATAAATTCAAATATTCTCTGATTCAAACTGAAGTAAAAATACCTGGATTGGGTTGAAGATATTCAATTGTCTTCGCCATTATTTCCATTATAGCCCTACTGGTGACATCCACTTTCTGCAATTACAAAACAAAAGGGAAGGGAAGAATCCCCAAATAAGAATGGAAAAATAAATTCAGTGCCCTTGTTGCAATGTTATTTCTTCTTCCACAGCTCTATACCAGTGGTGGCAAACCTATGGCACGCATACCAGAGGCGGCACTTGGAGTCCTCTCCGTGGGCACATGTGCCATTGCTCGCCCCTTGCCTCCCCCTGTGACCACCTCCTCTTCAGCAGCCCCTCTGAAGGAGAGTCGTCCTCGAGCCTGGCCCACACAGAGCAGCGCAGCCAAGGACATGGCAGCCAGGCAGCATAGACAAGACTTTGCCCTCACACCCCATCATGCACAGTTGATGCTGCGGGGCCTGGGCAGAGAGCGTGGCCGCCATGGCGCTGCTGGGCTTCCTGGGCGATCTGCAGCGGGCCCTGGAGGTGGTGAGTGGCCCTGCGGGCAGGCGGGGTGGGGGCGGGGCAGGGGGTGGAGCGGGGTCGGGGCTAGCTTTTGGGCACTTAGTCTCTAAAAGGTTTGCCATCACTGCTCTATACTATGGAGCAGGTGACCCTTTGTGCCCTGTTGTGTCATTGTTTCAGAGATTCTTCGTGGTATCCGAAGCAGAACATCCAGATTCAGCCAGAGTTTCATTCCATACAGCATTAACCTTGCGAACTCTCAAGCTTCCTCCTTCCGTTATATATTCAAGATGGATAATATTTAATATTTATTTGCTACGCATATGTAGAGATGTGGGTCTATACATATGTTGTTCACAGTATGTTTAGGTATGTGTCATGTATGTGTTTCACTTTGAGAGCGGGCAACTAAATCTCATTTTTGATGTGTGCCATTGTGCCCACAGTATAAAAATGACAATAAAGGTTATCTTATCTTATCTTTATCCAAATACAGAAACAGGTGGACAAAAAAACAGTGAGAATGACTTCCAACTTCCTGCCAGGTTCTGCCCCCACGTTTTTTTTTTTGTTTTTTTTTTTTTTTTGAGTAAAGCTGACAAGGAGTATCAAAAATCTTCCTTAGGCTTATTGGAAAAAGATACATACTTGGTTAGAAAAGATATTGGGAGAACATGTCGATTTTAAACTTGAACTTTTCTTATTAGGTATAATGCCAGAAAAGAGTAACAAACAAAGCCTATATTTGATTCTACACATCACAACAGCAGCAAGAATAATATTTGTGCAATATTGGAAAAATGAAGGATTACCACCAGAGGAAGAAATAATAAAAAATACTGGAATGCGCAGAGATGGACAGATTAACCATGAGATTGAAAGACAAAGAAGAAACAGAATATTATCAAACTTGGGACTTATTTTATCGATGGCTAGAGGAAAGAATGAAGGATTAGGAACTGAATATGTATTAGCGTTTTTAAACCCAGACAGCAGGTTGGTTGAAAAATTAATATACGTATGTAAGAGAAAATCAATAAAATCTTTATTTTAAAAAATCTATCTTCCTTCCTTCCTTCCCTATTTGGTTTCCCGCCTTCCTCTTCTTTCCCTTCTTTATCACTGCTCTTGTTCTAAGTCCTTCATCCCTCTTCCTCCACAGGTGCTTCTTTTCTGCTTTTTCCATGAAAGGAAGGGCCGCGGACTGTATGTGTATAGCTGAGAAAGACTGATTGGATGCAGATGGAAGACTAATTGATTTTAGAAGGGGGCAATTATTTTTGATAGTTTCAGTTGATTATTATTTTTTAATTCCTGGCCCTCTTTTGAGTAGGAGGCACAATTTGCTTGCTTATTTGTGTTCCCGATTCAATGTTTAAGCAACTCAGAATGTCAAAAATAATTTAACCACAATAATCAAAATAAAATCTTCATACACACCTACAGACACACCTACAGACACACACGGAGATAAAAATCCTATACAATGCCCACCTCCCCCATTGTATCACCTTGGCATTGCCAACTTCAACTGAAGCTGAAACGTTTGAAGTTGAAAAGTAGAGGGTGAACCTGTTTGGTCAAGTGGTTAAGGCACCAGGCCAGAAACCAGGAGACTGGGAGTTCTAGTTGTCCCTTTGGCATGAAAACCAGCTGGATAACTTTGGGTCAGTCCTCTCAGCCCAACCAACCTCACAGAACTGTTATTGTGGGAAAAACTGAAAGTAGTATTAGATATGTTTACTGCCTTGAGTTGTTTTTTTAAAAATAAGGATGGGATTTAAAAAAAATCTATCACTCTTCCCCAATTTTCAGGATTATTTTTCAGCTGGAGTTGGCAATGTCAGGCTGACCAAATTGGGAGGTAGGCGTCACACAGGATTTTGATTTTTCTCTCTCTTTTATTCTCCCTCTGCATGTGTGTATGTGTGTGTGTATAAATATATATTCTGCCTTCTTTATTTTTGTGGGGGCTTGGTTTAAATTAAGAGTTACCTTCCTTTCGTGGTAATAGGGCATTTGGGACATTATTATTCTGTGTTGCTAGCAAAGAAAATGAGGAATCTCTGCTCCCCCCCCCCCCATCTGCTAAGGCTCCTATTAGATTTTGCAACACAGAACAGGCTAAAGCTTCTCCATTCAACAGGAGTACAACCTTTCTTTCTTTTTCTTTCTTTCTTTCTTTCTTTCTCTTTCTTTCCTTCTCTCTTTTTCTTTCTCTCTCTTTTTCTTTCATTCATTCTCTTTTTTTCCCTTTTCTTTCCTTTTCTTTCCAGTAGCCATGCTGCAGGCTGACAGTACCACCTTTTAACCACCAGCATCTTGAAATCTTGCTCATTTTCTACCTTTTGAAGCCCAGTCATCTATTAAAAATGCATGCACTCCTTTAATATTTCAGACTGATTTCCCCAGGCATCCAGAACTATGTTGGGAGGGGTGTGGGTGAGCTGCTGACGGTTTGGACAGAGATCTGAAAAGAGCCTTAATGTTCTTGCTTAGCTATCCCCCGTTAATGACATCTCTAGCCACTTCTTTTCAAGTGCAGCTGCACTGCTGCACACACACAGATAGTCTCTCACATTATTAATTTCCACTGCACGCCCACCTTTTATTTGTTCACCCACCTGCCTGTTGCCAGATGACAAGAAGCTCTTTGGGAGCCTGGAGAATAATTAAAGTTTATTACATGTCATTACAATGCTTAGCATCGACAGGACTGGCCTAATTGAGGTCTCCGAGCACCCGCATAAAATGAAAAGGCTTTGACAATAAAATCAGAAGCAGGAAAAGCTCGATAAGAGCGGCTTCAACGTGCGGATTCTGCTGTAGCTTTTTGGCTAGATTCAAGCAAAAATGATCTTTAATGAAATGGGATAGTGCCTCCTTAATTGATTTATTGTATGTCTCTGTATGAAACACACTGATTAATTTATTTATTAAGAGTATGTGTGTGTATGTGCACACACACTCACATATTCCCACCTTATTCAAAGAGACATAAATTATCACATCTACTAAATCAGGGGTGTCAAACTGGCGGCCCGCAGGCCAGATGCATCATGCATAGGCCACGCCTACCCCGGTTCCGCAAAGGCAAAAAATGTCCCAATAGATCACAATATGTCACGTGACGCAATCAAGTTTGACACCCGTGCACTAAATTCTTGCAGCCATTCTGTAAGTTAGGTTAAGCCAAGAATCACCCAAACAGCCTCCTTGCATAAGGAGGCTGTGAACATGTATCAAGGTTAGAAGTATTCAAGGTTATACTTCTCAGTGCTGTTGATTGTATGAAGACTGAATAAGAACAAAAGGCAATATGGAGATGTATCCTATAATCATCTGTTTAAAATGGAAGAAGCATTTTAGTTTAAGAGATTCCAACCACAGCTATAAAATATCCAGCCCCAAAGGAAATTAAAAAGATATCAACAGCAAGTTCGAAACATAACTTCCATAGAGCTTTAGAACATAATGCTATAAAACTGTGTTCAAGTAATTGTGATTTAAATGCATGTTTCCATTTCATAAGTATTTATTAAAAGTGCAAAAGGCAGCTGGGAGAAGGCTCATACTTGTGATCATCCGAGAGCTTTGCTCCTAGTGAAAAAAAACCCCTCTATAATAGTACCAATTATGCTGATTATATTGTCAGTATTTCAAATCTGAACACTGTGCCTGCTGACTGTCATTCTTGAACACAACCATTCAAAATGCAGATATCCTGGTTTCTCCCCCGTCCCGCCCCCACTATCTAACCAGCCTATTGTTTGTTGAACATTCTTGGACTGTTGTTTCTCAAGTCTTCATTGCCAGGTAGGAGAGCAGACGTCCTGCTGAAGATCACTAAGAACAATCAAACCTTTTATTAGAATAAGGTATATTTTTCAAGGAGGATGGTAAAAGGACTCCATCTTACAATTTGCTATGCACCTGGCCTTGCAATTCCTTTCTTGGAGGAAGTATTCCTTGAATCATTGCTTTGCCTCTCCCACACTAAAGTTTGGCACAGCTCTTGATTAACATGACATACCCAATAATTTCCTCCTGTCAGTACAAGAACCACTCGACAACCTACCATTTTATTTAACGTAGTTGTCATGTAGACAAGAGGTATGGGCAACTGCTGGCAAGTCTGCATGTTCCTTTCCCAATCATCTCTTGAACTTTTATGTCAACCTTCTCTTATCTGATATAGCAGGACTATAATTTCTAAAATGCAACAGTGTGGGAATTGACGGATAAAGCTCCAACACAATAAGAAGTTGATAAAACTGCACTCTAGATGGTAGAACCAATCTGATCTAAATAGTGCCAATTATGCTAATTATGTTGTCTAGCTATAGATAAGCAACCTAGGAAAACATAACAAAATGTATAAAAATCCATTCAGGGGAATGCTGCAATAGATGATTACAAGAGAATTAACTTCCAGACTCACCCTTTCCATTTCTTTGAAGTCCTCATCTAGCTTAGTTCCTTCTGCTCCACCAACTTTTTCACTCACTTTCTGCAGTAAAAGGCAAAAAAGAAAAAAATATAGTTTTTACTCCACATTTATTATAAATACACCATGCTCCTTCCTCCTCATTTATCACCATGTACAATATGTTTATAAAACTTTTCTGTGCAAAGCAATGTAGACAAATAAAATAGTTGTAATACTTGCATATATATCCTGCCTATTTGGGGTATTTTCAGAGCTGCTTTCCAAGCAGTCTTATCATTCCCAGAGAGGAAGGAATATTGGGAAATTATAATGCAACACATCTTGGTGTCACAAAATTGGAAAAGGTTGTTCTGAATCATAGTAATGAATAAGAAGAAAAAAAAACATTTCTGAAATTTTATCATATTGATGAGATTGCACTGGGACTTCTTTTTAACAAGGGTGTGACCTGTTAGATATTATGCAAAATCAAATCTTGGTCATGGTTGCCTAGATGGTGCTATTGTTTAGAAAGTGAAATTAAGCAAGTCTGCTAAATGGTATCAGATCTCAAGGGGGGGGGGGACTTTGCATTCCAAAAATGAAGAGGACTAAGAAGGTTTCAATAAACCTGTTTCTTCCAAAGGACAGGCTTGACAGCTGGGGTGATTTCATTTTTAATAGTTGTAAGTAAAATAAAAAGAATACAATTAGCCTAAACAGAAAATACAGAAGCTAAATGATTTTACACTGCTATAAGCACTTAATAACTAATATGTAAAATATATGCTAATAAATAAAAATAATACACACACACACACACACACACACACACACACACACACGAACAAATATACACACGTACATACGTACATACATATTGTATATCTTTGGTCCCAAGGAGATTATTCTACTATAGGCATAAGACTAGGTGCAAAGAACATATTGTATATCTTTGGTCCCAAGGAGATTATTCTACTATAGGCATAAGACTAGGTGCAAAGAACTCAGTAACAAACACTCAAGTCAATGCAGATCCAGAAGGGATGTTGTTGCTATTCAGTTAGAGTGCAATGAAGACTGACTCCTTCTCTTACTGCTAACTCCTTCTCTTACCATATGTGCTCTTTACTGCATGACTGCACATAGTGACACATTAGCTTATACCTACAATTCTATTTTTTCTTTAGTCTGCAATGATTTATTTGTAGGATGTTCTAATTGATAACAGTGGTGATAGTGTGTATGTTATAAATGTGCCTAGGAACATATGAATGGCCAAGCTCACCATCTTCCAATTGTGTTTATGGCCTTCAAAGCACTGGAACATCTATACTGTGAATTTTGAGTGAAGGAATACACAAATGACAATGTGCATCCTCCTCCCCAAAACATAAACAACTTCTTTCTGCATCAGTGGTCATGATATAATTACATAATCATTTTATTTGCTGAATGACAGGAGGCTTGTCATTTTGATGACATTGTGGTTTGTTATGAACATCTGTGGCACAGGGACATATATTCTGCTAGAAAATCATTGCCCCATTGGGTCAGTATTTCAAAGATATTTCTTTACCAGATTCCCCAATGCCTTCAACCATGGCAAAACTTGAAAAATACTGCCTTCACTGGAAAAGCTGAGATACATTAAGAGATATATCTGTCTTGAAAATAGCCCTTGTTGAACTGTATGTATGGCACAACATAGAGTCACACATGAGCATAGGAAATGCTTTCTGACATTTGGTACTATGTCTTAAATTGCATTATGATGATGTTTATGTCATAAAATGTTTTATAAAACTTCCCAAATTCCAATTCCATGGCAATCATATGGTCCCAGATTTTGTAAGTTAGTCTATTTGAGGTATGTTGTTTGGGGGGGAAAAAGTGACCCATGGAGCACTCTTTCACCCATGTAAAGGTTACAAGAATCAGAGTTTTAATAGTATATATAAAGTGCAGGTGGGAATGCAGATATAACAAACAGTATAAAGAAGATACAGGTTTTGAGCCAGATTATAAGAAAGAGTTAGAGCAGTGTTTCTCAACCTTGACAATTTTAAGGCATGTGGACTTCAACTCCCAGAATTCCACAGCCAGCAATGCTGGCTGTGGAATTCTGGGAGTTGAAGTCCACATGCCTTAAAATTGTCAAGGTTGAGAAACACTGAGTTAGAGGAAGCACTTTCAAATGCTATGAAATAATAGTTCCTGGTATAAGAGGGGTCATAACATTATGGATAGAGTTAATTTCGAGAATAAGGAATCTTTGTGCAAGGCTGTAAATATATGGAAAATCTCAATATATACATTAAATTAAAATAGAAAACAAAGAGGGATTCATTGTATGGCATCCTTTTCTATATTCTATATTTCAAGTCAGCTCTCAGCTATGTAAAAGCTCGTGTAGAGCAATCCTTCTCAAATTCAAGATTACTGAACAAGGGAACAATGTTCTAATCAGTAAAATTGGCTCTAATGAATCTTCCATTAATTGCATGATATAAGCTCTGATGAAGTGAAATTTTAGCATCACATTTTCATGCTATTTAAAGCATACCTCCTGTAAGAGAAATTGAGCTTTCGTTTTTCTTTTAATAACGTTTCCACTGGTTGCTTTGCTGTGTTTTTATAACTTTACTGAAATGATCTGAAGGTTCAGCTTTGTCCTTGGCTGCTTCAAATCCACACACATAAAATTCCACATTGTTAGGAATGATTTAGAATAGCAACAAAGCAAGGATCTTTGTGATAATATTCACTATATAGAAGAGCCTGTAAGAAAACCAGGACTATCTGGATATTCTCTGGTATTTCCAGGATAGTTGTTTAAGAGATGTCTGAAACACCAGATGGGAATTAATCCTTGACTCATCACATAACTAGAGCGATAGGAAACATGGATGTATTCAGTCTAGATCTGATACGATAGTACACCCACTTATACACACAGAGATGCATGCGTAACTTGGTGCGCACAAGGTTAGACAGCCAAATGTGTGCTGAAGAGCAGGTTGGAACCTACACACAAATATATGCAAGCACGTAACATATGGATGCAGAAACATAATGTCTTCTTCTCCATGGACAGTCGGTGGGAACCACTGTTCCCTAACTGCAGAAGAAAGCATTAAGCTCCATGAGAGAAGAGAAACTGAATAGAAAGCTGGAAGGAGGACCTTTTCATTCCAAGGGATCATGTCTGCTCTGATCCTGCTGGGTGTAAATTCTGCTCTCACTACCTTGGATGCCCTTGAGAGACCTGTTTTCTGCTACCATTAGGAGCCATGGTGGCGCAGTGGTTAGAATGCAGTATTGCAGGCAAACTCTGCCCATAGCCTGGTGTTCGATCCTGACGGGGCTTAAGCTTGAGTCAGCCTTCTATCCTTCCGAGGTTGATAAAACGAGGACCCAGATTGTTGGGGGCAATATGCTGACATTGTAAAATCACCCAGAGAGTGCTGTAAAGCACTATGGGGCAATACACAAGCCTAAGTGCTAATGCTATCGCTATGCTCAATGATCCATTTGTTTGTTTGTTTTCGCTGTCCACTGTATTCACAGGAGTCTTCACCAACTAACTTCAGAAGCGTCAGTACTTTTCCTATCCTGCTCCTTCAAAGTACAACTTTCACTTCCATAGATTGTCACTATGAGAATGCCATTACCTGCCTACTTCTGATCTTTGAAGGTGCAGATCCATCATAGCATTTGAATTTCCATTTGGAGAGAGGAGTTGCTCGGACATTACCCCTGAATTGTATCTGAAGAGGGATGAGAAGGAAGAAAGGAGAGGAGAGAGAAAAGAGTAAAGGAGGGGAGAAGGAAGTAGGAAGGTTGGAGAAGAAGTGGGGAGAAAGGGGAGGAGAGTGGTGAAGGAAAGAGGAGAGGAAAAAGAGGGAAGTAGGGAAGAGAAGAAAGGGAGAAAGAAGGTAGAGAAGAAGGAGTGTGGATATAGTGAAAGGGGAAATGGGCGAGCAACACCAAAAGTCATGTGTATGTATTTATTTCATTTTATTAAAAGTATCTTATATATGAATGTAAAAAGAATGTATGTTAACATCTGATAAATATCACGGTGTATGTATGGGGGAGAGTTTGGAAAAATAAAAAATTATTTTAAAAAAAAGAATTTCTTTTTTCCAGGCCTTTGTGCCTGCTCTATTTCTCGACTGCTTATTCCTTTACTGTTGATAGTTCTAAAACACAGAAACTATTCATCACTTCAATATCTTCATTGTCAATTCTAAGGCTTATTGTTCTATTATCATTAGTTTGGCCTTCTTTACATTTAATTTTAGTGCCAATTTTTTTCACTGTGCTCCTTGAGTTTCATTACTAGAACTTGCAGATCCTTAGCATTTTCAGCTATTAGAACAGCGTTACCAACATAATGCAGATTATTGATGTTTCTTCTTCCAATTTTATAACCACAGTCATCTTCTTCCATTCTAGCTTCTTTGATATATATTTAGAATTCAAGTTGAATAAATAGGGGGAAAATATACAGCCTTGTCATACTTCTTTGGCTTATCTCTTTATTTAGACTTTATAACATGATTTAATAGTGTGAATGATCAAAGCTTCAAAGGGGATGTTTTTTGTTTTAAAGCTGTGTCCCTGAGAACTTCAGGGACAGGACTGAATAAATTTTGTGCGTGTCCAGCATTTGCTTTCCTTGCTTGAGCAACTACTAGTCAGCTCCCTATTTCTCTTCTATTAACAGGTCATGACCACACAATCTCTCTTACATGTATATAAGTTTATAGAATTTCAAAAACTGATAAAATATAGAATAATAGAAGAGTTAGAAAAAGACAGAGGTGAGGAAAAGAATTACAAGTATAAATTGAACAGAAAAAATATATATGAAAAAATTAGAAAAAGAATAACTTCCAGACTTCTGTAGTACAGATATAAATATATAATAAAGTAATCATGACCAATCTCATACTACTTTGGTTGGCTACTAGATTCTCCTTGACCGAGGAAAAGCAGCCTGAGTCTATGCCTGTTTTTCAAGGCCCCAGATTCTTCTTTAAACAATTTTCCTATGGAAAATTGATGGCACAGCT